GGCCTGCTGTGTTCATCCAGCTCTACACCTTGTTATCTCCAAACCCTTTGTGTCAGCTTTAGTTGGAATATTTATACAGGTAGTTTTCCTATAACGCGATTGTTGCATTCTTGTGTGACCTTGCACTATAGAAAATCGCCATGGAAAATCACATTATAGGGAAATCGCTATAGAAAATCGCTATTGTTGTGCAGCAGAAAGTTCGCATTATCCAAACAGCGTCTATTATTCATCAATTGCGTTACAGCCAATTCTAGTTAATGAAACATGCATTATAGTAGAACTACATGTACAATGCAGGGGATTCAGAAGCTTTTGGAAGTAAAATCATGTGATCAACCTCACCCATGTTATAAGCCCGTACAAGGTTGTCCATTTTTAAAAGAAACAGAATACAAACTTGGAAATAGAGAATAGCTTTCTTTGGGATTTCCCTTCCTTCCCTCTGGCCATGACATAGCACCAAGTTATTGCTGCAGGTGTTCCATGGGGAAGCATCTCCATCTTCAGAAACTCCATTCGTTATTTGCATCCCATCAAATGTCAACATCCTCGTTACCTTCGTACACCTTGTACCTTCATATCATCCCGGTGGCAACCTTCCATGTACTGGGGGAGAAAAAGATCAAATTACCTTCTATCCTATATCCTGTGGGAGCAGTGTTACTCATCTGTCTCTGCTCTGCCATTGTGACTAATTACATAAGCACTGTAATTTTGGTGATATACATGTCAGCAGTTACTCCCTGTTATTAGATTAGTAACTTTTAGATTAATAACTATGAGCTAGAGTGCATCCTCACTGATCTCAGATCATTTAGAAACTGGGAGCAGAGAGAAGATGGTTTTAATGGAGACGTGTTTTCTTCTTTATTTATTCATGGGATGTGGGCATTGCTGTCCAGGCCCAGGCCAGCATTTATTGCCCATCCCTAATTGCCCAGAAGGTACTTAAGAATTAACCACACGTTATGGATCTAGAGCCACGTGGAGGCCAGAACAGGTAAGAATTTCCTTCCATAAAGGGGCATTAGTGAATCAGTTGGGTTTTTCCCCTGATAACTGACAACACTTTCATCATCAAATTGCAGATTTGTTATTGAATTTGTGCTTCAAATTTCAACATAGTGGATTTAAACCTAGGGCAATAATATCACTAGACTATTGCCTCCCGCTGCTGAACTTTGTCTCTGTGAATAGTGTAATCAATTAGTAAATGTTCATTAATTTTCACTAGTAAGGCTTCCAGTCCTCATCTGTTAAAAGCATTGAAAACCAGTCATGACATTTATGCACTTTGCACCAGATTTTGCTTTATGCAGCCTCTTGCAGTTTGAGACAATGTTGCCCCATTGCCCTATCTCTCAATTCCATCAGTCTTAAATCATGATTGAATATTATAAATGCCTGGATTTTATGTTTGCTAGCCAGCAGATTTGGAGCTGGGGGTTGCTCAGAAAATTGAGCCAGCAGCATACCTACCCACCCTAGTGCCTGCCCTTGGCCTACTGAGGCATCTAAGTGGCAAATTAGTTGAATACGCCTCTTCTTCATTCTGAAAACCTGTCAGATCTGCTGTGTTTTTCCAACACTTTATGTTTTTGTTATAGTTGAAAATGAATGTGGTAATTGAGACTGCCCCATAATGCAATGTCCTAGGCATACTCTGCAGTAACATGACATTTCTGCCTCTGTATTCTTGTGGGTTTTACAAATAAGCAGTACAACTATTAATTGTGCTTTCCATTGCAGCTAAGTCAGAAGAGCCGAGAGATAGCCAGCCTGAGAAATGATGTTGCACGAAGTCAACAGAGAAATATGCAGTTAGCAGAGGAAAGTGCAGCATATGAGGAAAGGATGAGAAGACTGCATGATGAACTGAAAAAAATGCAATCACTGAATCGACGAGCAGAAGAAGAAGTAAGAGTTTTATCTAACATTACAAATATGTATGTTATCTTCAGTTTATAACTGCAAGCTGGTAATGCTTTTTCTCTCACCATGTTGCTCCATGTCCTCCTCCCTGCTGGTGTATTTAGCCCTTGCTAGTGTGCAATTCACGGTCATAGCTATACTCCAATAGTCGGTCAAAGTTACCAATTACACTGTGTGTGAATAGTCTGTTTTGCCACACACACAATTTCAGATAAGTGCAATCCTCTCCTCAAACTCTAAGGTCTGTAAGAAGGGTAGAAGACATATTTCATACATAATTTGAACTTGTGTCCGGTTGTAGAAATAAAACTGTGTTTCATTTTACCAAATAGTGACCCTTCATGAGTTTAAAATCACTTTTATTTATGGCAGTTATTAAAGCAGATAGGAATGGAAGCTAGGAGGAGAAATCAAAGAGTCTACAAAGAATACAGGTGGGTTAAGTGAATAGGCAAGAAAGTAGCAGATAGAGGATTATGTAGGGAAATGCAAGGTTATTTCATTCGCCAGCATAATAGAAAGACAATTTTTTTTCAAAAGACATGAAACTTCTTAGTGTTGCTTTTGAGAGAAATTTTGGTGTACTCTTACAAGGAACACAGAATGTTGACGTACAGGTACAGCAAGCACTGTGGGATACAAATAGCATATGGACATTTATTGCAAGGGGGGATGGGTGCAAGAATAAGGAAGCCTTGCCACAACTGTACATTATTTTATTGAGCCCAGACCCACAGTACTGTGAGTATTTTTGATCTCCACATTTAAGAAAGCTTATACTTCCAGTGGACCTGTAAAGCAGATATTTGCTGCATTGGTTCCTGATAGGTTGCCCTATCATGATAGTCTGAATAAATTGAGTCTATAAGGCTGAGTTTTCATCTTCAGTTTGGAGAGTGTCAGTTAGGCCATTTCCTGACTTTGTAAAGTCAGCCCCAATCATCTGTAATTTTCATTTCAGAGAATCTGCGACATGTTATAGTTAGGACAGTCACCTCCTAATGCAGAATCATTCTAGAAATGAAGACGGTCAAATTCCAATGAAAAAAGATTGGAGGCATGTATCCATTCACTGGGACATCAGCCCATTTCTCCACATAGTTATTAGGCATTCTAGCCATCAATCCTCTGAGCTACTGACATGCCCCTTCTTCATATCTCTCATGCCCCGATCATACCCTCTCAAATCCCATGGAGGTCTCAACCTGCAACTATGTAGTCTACATATAAGAAGAAATAAAGCCGGATATTTGAAAAGATCGCGGACTCGTTCATTATTTCTTAGGAACCCAACAACTGTAAATCAAATATAACTATTGAAGCTCCCTTTGAACAAACATTCTATCAGCTTGATTGCTTGTTAATATGCAAACTAAGCACACAGAAATTCAAAAACTTATTCATAAAACTCAATCAAATCACAGAAAACAGTAATGACATGCATAGCCAGAGGTGAGCAAGAGATTCCAATGAAAAATGTATTTTCTTCCACATTTTTATGTTTAAATTCTGTTTATTTTGAAAACAGAAATCCTTGCTGGACTCATGAAATGGCCAAGGTTGGTCACGTACTTGTATTTCCAGAAGCTTCTTAACCCCCTGCATTTTATAGATATTCCAGCTAAAGCTGACACAAAGAACCTGGAGATGAAACACCTGTTTCCAGCCAGGCCTGGATAAAAGAAAGCATCAAGACCTGTTTTGCTAAAATGAGGGTTAGCATTTTTATGGTTACCTCATTACCTCATAATGTAAATTATAGTAGAGGGGTAAAGCTACAATATTAGCTTAACCTTTTCACTAGCCCACCAGAATGGATCCTCGGCATAATGGTGGTCATTGACACACAAGTGGTATTGGACCAGGTTGAATTTCTTAAATATACAATTCTGGGATTTTATGTCTAATACTGCTTAACCCATAGAGGAAAAGCAGGAATCTCTGGTGAGTTGGCAGTCTGCCTTGGACCCTCCATCTCTGTCTCCACGTTGTTGGCTGGAAAGAAGCTTGCATTTCTTCTACAGGAAGGAAAAACTACTGGGTCCAACTTACCGAGGGAACTATTATTGGACACTGACCTTGAGGATGTCTCAACTCACAAGAACTGATTTCAATATCTCTAGATTTACCAAAGCTTTAGTTTATACCCTAACTCCTCTCTTGTCTTCTTAAAATTTTTCATTTGCGAGTGTTTATGAATAACTAAACAATTTCCATGTGTTTTAAATATATTGCTAATAAACTATATCTTTGATTTGACCTTAAAGAATTTTGGTGGGTTTATTTCAAAAATTTGAATCCATAAATCAGGATTTGTGAATACCCTTCAGACTACCACAGTAAGGAGTAGGAGTAAAAAGGGAAAGGAGCAAATCAAACAGTACCTTGCTTTGACAGGCTTAAGAGTAGAAAAATAGTCATATTTTAAACTCACCCCATTCCCCAATTTCCCTTTTGTCTGTGTCAGTCCCTTCACAGCTGTGCTAACTGTACCTGTTGAGCTAAATCCATGTATTCACAATGAGATTATTGTACACACCAGAATAAACATGGCCACGTAATTCAATACAGTTGACACTGCAATTTTTTTTCTTGATCATCAATTCATGTGAGGTCACAACCTGCCATATTTCCTGTCCTGGGGAAAGTAATGTCTTTAAGGAATAGGCATATAATTTTAAAATGTTGTCTGGAGTTTTGAGGAATGTGAAGTGATCTAATTTAAGTGTACAAGATTCTGAAGGAGCTTGACAGGGTAGACATTGAGTGTCTATTTCTCCCTTCCTAAAGAATATGGAATGGGTACACAGTGAGAAGATTAGAATAATTTAGGATTAAGATGAGAAGAAATTTCTTCATGAAGAGAATTTTGAATCTTTGGAATTATCTATTCCGAAGCATTGTGAATGCTCAATCAATGAATATATTTAAAGCTGACAAATATTTGATCCCTCAGGGAATCAAGGGGTATGGGATGAGGTAGAAAATCAACCACGATCATTTTGAATGACAGAGCAGATTGAAGGGACTATATTGTCTATTCCTGCTCCTATCTCTTATGTTTTTGTCATCTAGAATGATCAAAAGAAATCTATTTATTGTTGTAATAGAATTTTTTGCTTTTATCTGGAAAAGAAAGTTAGTGGTAGTAGTAAAACACCAGCTAGTCATACTTCCACAGCACTTGGATAAAATAGAGTTTGGAGTTCTCTGAGCACTATTTTCAACATGTTGATGAACATGCTCCTGCACAATCCCTAAGTGTACAATTTAATAGATTTTTTTGTTACACTAAGTATTGAATTGCAGCATTATTGCTGGTGTTTAACTTATTTTCCCAGTTATTCAAGTTGATTTGAAAACTTTCTCTATATGGCAATTTATTTGTTATCGGTTGCCATTTATTTCATGAAAACTGTGAGAATACTATGGCCTTAAGAGGTGTATTTTGTTCTTTTTTTGAAGAGAGGTTTTAAGACAGAGGTGACGAACTGTCTATTTCAATCCAATAAACTAAACACTTTGCGAGACCTTGGGCTTTTTTATTTGAGTTAGAGCAATAGAAGCAATTGGATGGGTGGGGTCAAGCTCCCTAGAGCCAGAGTTTTTAGTTTTAGTTTTTCAGTAGCAGTTGCTGGGCTCTTAAAGCTGTTGCATATCTCTTCCTGTACTATCTGTCTCAGAGTTTTCTCTTGACGATTTTCCTCCTGGATGGAGAATTGCATGTGAGACAATCTACTTTACTGTATTTGCCTTTGCCAAGGGTGTGGTTGTAGGATGTTACTATATTGGAACAGTTCTATTATTCTGTTAAGTTTTCCAATAGTTATGTTACTCCAATCTATTCTTTCTTTTGTTGTATTTTAATGAGAGTGTATGAATAAACTGTGTTTTGCTTCAAGACTGGTAGTTTGACGAATCGAATTGCATTCGAAACGCAACGCCTGGCACTTGCCTATAAAATGAGAAGAAGTTAGGGTCTAGGCTATCCTCTTAATATACTTTGAGGGGCTTTAGTCTGGCCCATAACGCAAGGAATTGCAAGGTTAACCCTACTTTAACTCATCTTTTCATAGTGCACACCCATCACAGATCTTTAACAACAAGACCTGATTCATTAACCCAATCAGATGTGAAACAAGATCGCACATTGTAATTTTTCTATAATACTGTGCAAATGTAATTGTGCTATGAGTCATCTGAGATATTAGCAGTTGAAGAACATAGCGCAGGTGGAATACATGAAGAAATAATTAATTCTTTAGAATGCAATGAATTCTGCTAAGGTCATCCTCAATACTGATTAAACGTGAGACTGTGATGAAATTATTTTTTATAGACCCTGTGACATAGAGATTGCTTAAGGATTAACCTGGATATGGCAGTAATACAACAGCAGCCAATTTTAATGTAATCTCACCTCCACATACTCACATTTTGGGCACACTTAATCAGCAAAAGCTTAATTAAAAATGCTTTTCAAATCAAACTTATATTAGTTTCTGCATTAAGCCATCTCCCATTGATTTTCCTGTGCATTTTAGATATAAAGGTTATCTGCTGCGCTTCAATCTTTATGAAGAAGTGGCATTAGCTTGGGCTGTTCAGAATAAACATATTAATGGTTTTCTGCAGATGATTCTGCATTATTTTGTAAGCTACTTGAATGGAACATAAATTTTGTGTTTAATTCAACATTTGATTTAGCTGTTGCCAACACCTCTAGTGTGTTGGCGTCAAAGGTTTATCTGTTTGCACCTATGCTTCTTGTTACTCTATCACTCCTACTGCCGTGGGCAGCTACGCAGAAGGTAATACTAGGTATCAAAAAGTGAGGGTAAAATTGAGAATTACTCCAGTCATGTGACATGTGCCTAGTGACAGCTATAATCTTGGCTAAGAATTTAGTGGAGACTTTTTCAACTTTTCAAATCCATCATGGTTCCTTGTCATCACTTCTGTTGGGACAGCTCCACCATAAGAACTTAAGAACTAGGAGCAGGAATAGGCAATTCAGTCCCTCAAGTCTGCTCAGCAATTTAATACAATCAAAATTGATCTCATCTTGGGCTCAGCTCTATTTTACTGCCTGCTTTCCATAACTCTTCAACCCATAACTATTTAAAAATCTGTACATCTCCTCCATAAATTTTAATCAGTAAGGGAATCGAAAGTTACAGGGGAAATTGTTTACAATTTACATAGATGATTTGGAGTTGGAGACTAAGTGTGGTGTGTCAAAATTTGCAGATGACACTAAGGTGAGTGGTAGAGCGAAGTGTGCAGAAGACACTGAAAGTCTGCAGAGGGATATAGATAGTCTAAATGAGTGGGCAAAGGTCTGGCAGATGGAGTACAATGTTGATAAGTGTGAGGTCATCCATTTTGGTAGGAATAACAGCAAAATGGACTATGTTTTAAATGGTAAAAAATTGCAGCACGCTGCTGTGCAGAGGGACTTGGGTGTCCTTGTGCATGAATCGCTAAAAGTAGGATTGCAGGTGCAGCAGGTAATTAAAAAGGCAAATGGAATTTTGTCTGTCATTGCTAGAGGGATGGAGTTTAAAAACAAGGAGGCTATGCTGCAGCTGTATAGGGTCCTGGTGAGGCCACACCTGGAGTACTGTGTGTAGTTTTGGTCTCCTTACTTGAGAAGAGATATACTAGCACTGGAGGGGGTGCAGAGGAGATTCACTAGGTTGATTCCAGAGTTGAGAGGGTTGGGTTATGAGGAGAGACTGAGTAGACTTGGATTATACTCATTGGAATTCAGAAGAATGAGGGGAGATCTTATAGAAACATATAAGATTATGAAGGGAATGGATAAGGTGGAGGCAGGGAGGTTGTTTCCGCTAGCAGGTGAAACTAAGACTAGAGGGCATTGCCTCAAAATAAAGGGAAGCAGATGTAAGACTGAGGTCAGGAGGAACTTCTTCACCCAAAGGGTCGTGAATCTGTGGAATTTCCTGCCAGTGAAGCGATTGAAGCTACCTCACTGAATGTTTTTAAGGCAGGGCTAGATAAATTTTTGAACGGTAAAGGAATTAAGGGTTATGGTGAGTGGGTGGGTAAGTGGAGCTGAGTCATGATCTTATTAAATAGCGGGGCAGGCTCGAGGGGCCAGATGGCCTACTCCTGCTCCTAGTTCTTATGTTCTTATGAAATATCAGGAAAGTGCACTTGAGATTATCAGAGCAGTCATGATCTCATTGAATGTGGAGTAGGGCTGAATGGCCTGCTTCTCCTCCTATGGCTTATATGGAGGAACAGGTGGCAGCTCGATTCCACCAGACCATTGCCGCAAAGTGGGGAATTTCTCATAAATTGTAACCACCACCCCTCCACCTCACCCTATATCAGTTTCAGAACTTTGTGCACAAACATACCTTAGTCCAATGATTAGGAGAATGCTGAACAACTTGGTGGTGCAGCACATTACATACTGACAGACAATCTTTCATAACAGTGCAACATTGAATCATAGAATTTTATAGTACAGAAGGAGACCATTTAACCCATCATGTCTCTACCAGCTCCTGAAAGAGCTACCCAGCTAGTCCCATTCTCCAGCCTAGCTCCATATCCATCTAACTCGTATGGAATCCACCTCCACCAGTCTCCTAGGCAGCCACTTCCAAATCCTAACAAATCTCTAAGTAAAGATCCTAACATCTCACCTCTAGTTCTCTCACTGACAATCTTGATATTGTAATACTAAACAAAATGTTATTTAACCGCATAGTTAATAGCCAACCATGTGAGTTCTCTGAGGAAAGAAGTCAAGCAAAGATGCTCTCCACCAAGAGAAAAGATCCAGTCTTTGGCATATTTCTCAGCAAAAGAAAAGTAACTGGAGAGAAAAGAATCATTTTACTTGGTCAGGAAACGGGAAGTTATATGTGGACATCTTAGAGGTGTGTTATCATTAGAAGCGGGTTACACTTCTCCCAGGGCATGTGAGTTGTGTTAAAAAGCATTTTCACATGCATGTTGTGGTATGGATCTATAGGTATTGATGGTAGAGGCTCCAACTTTCTTCACATGGCTGACCAGAAATCTCTCCCATTTTTACCACTTGCTATTGGCCTTTTGTTGGACTGATACTCAGCTCCTTAGCCACATTATGAATGCATCTTCCCTGGCTATCAAGTCCTAGGATAAGACTCAAACTCAGAGCTTCTGGCTCACAGGTAGGATGGTACCCACTGCGCCAAAAGGCCATCTCAATTCCTTGGAGATAAGGCGATAAAAATGTGCAGAATTGGTTTTTAAAACTGGATAAAACTGCAAAATGAACATGAAATCCAGGAGTCTTTGTTGTGTGATTGTGAAAATTGGTCATTAAATAGACTAGGTTGCAACATACCAATATATATCTTAGAGGTATGTTATATAATTAAAAGTGTGTTACAGTTCTCTCAGGAAGTGTGAGTTGTTGTGGTAAAATACACTTTCATTTTTTCCAGGCTCACATTTGTGAGAATCGATTGATGGAACTAAGTAACCAGATGATAATGTCACAGGGGAAATCCCATGAAACCATGAAGGAACTTACCAGTAAGGAAGAAGAGTTACTGATAATGAGGGTAGAACTGGTCTCCCTTCGAGAAAAATACCACTCTAAAACTGAAGAGGTAATGCATACTTCCAAATCATTTAATAAATATTAGGCGCCAAATTACTTAATTTAAAACTAAGGGCCGGGTTTTGCCCACCAATGTGGGTAATTCAAATCAGAAAGTTTCCCAACTTGCTGTAGAAAGTGCTCCAACGCAAATAGTTTTCATGAGAGTCAGAGGAGGTTTGTGGAGTGGCTTCAGGGTCAGTGACCCTAGAAGCAGAGTGTGGGCGGCCAGAAGAGCAGACAAGTGAGTAGGTGAACTGATTAGAAATGCCACCTCCATTTTCTGGGACTTTGCCCCAGGTGTTTTAAAAGCTGTGAAACCCCCTCATCTCGCACACTCCATGACACATCTGTACAGCTTCCATGCCAACTCAATGCTAACCCATGCATACAACCCACCCATACCCTCTATGCCAACTCATGCTCCCACCTACCCCCTTGATACCTCATAATCGCATGCCAGTTGAATAGCAATTCATGCCCTCATCCATCTCCTGACCCTCATATCCTCAAAACCACATCTGTAGACTCTCACTCTGTCCACCATGGAAATAGTGAATATATTGGCATGGATAATTAATTGGCTAATGCACAGAAAATAGAGTAAAAATAAACAGTGCATTTAAGTTTGGCTGGCTGAGACTAATGGTATGCCACAAGAATCGTTATTGTGCCCCAGCTATTCATAATCTATATCAATGATTTGAATGTCAGAATTGAATATAATATTTGCTTGTTTGGAGATGACATAAAACTGGGTATGAGTATGAGTTGTGAAGATTATATAAAGACATATCAAAGGGATTTGCAGAGGCTAAGCTTGCGGTAAAAAAATGACAAATTGGAATACAATGAGGAGAATTGTGAGGTTATTGCTTTCATAGGGAAAGCAGAAATACAGAATATTCTTAAAAGGTGCATGTCTGGGAAGTGTTGGGCTTCATCGAAGATTAACATGCAGGTATAACAAGCAATTAAGAAGGCAATGATTTGTTGGTCTTCTTACAAGAGAATTTGAGCGTAGGAGTAAAAATATCTTACAGCAATTACATAGAGACTTGGTGAGATTGTTTTTGAAGTATTGTGTACAATTTTCGTCACCTTACCTATAGAATGGGCCAATGTTCTCTGGAGTTTTAGAAGAATGAACATACGAACATACAAATTGGAAGAAATTCAGCCTGTCACATCTGGTCCACCATTTAATAAGATCATGACTGAAATGTTTGTGTTTCGAATTCCACATTCCTATAAACCCAGATAGTGTTTGATTCCCTTCCCTAGCAAGAATCTATCTATCTCTGCCTTAAAAATGTTCAATGACTTCACTTCTCACTACCTTTAGAGGTAGAGTTCCAATGTCACAGACCTTGCAGGAAAAAAAATTCCTTATCTCTGTCTAAGAGCAACCCTTAATTTTTAAGTAGTTCCTCCTAGTTCCTGACTTATCGATGCGTGGAAATGCCTTTTTCACGTCCATCTAGTCAAGACCTTTCAGGACCTTATATATTTCAATCAAGTCACCCATCACTCTTCTAAATGCAAGTGGAAATAAACAATCTGTCCAACTTCCTCATAAAACAACCCAGTCATTCCAGGTATAAACCTAGTAAGCTTGCTGTATGCTGTTCTCCAAGTGTGGTTTCCCCAGTGTCCTGTATAACTGAAGCATTCCATCTTTACTTTTATGCTCAATTCTTCACGTATTAATTTGTAGCCTTCTTAATTACTAGCTTTACTTTCATACTTCTGGTGACTCATGCACTAGAACGCCTAGATCTCTCTGCACCCCAGAATTCCATGCTCATTCTCCATTAAAGTAATGCTTTTTTTTTGTTCTTCCTACCAAAGTAAACAGCTGCACATTTTCTCAAATTATACTCCATCTGCCAGATTTTCACCCACGCACTCAAACTATCTGCATCCCTATGGAACCTCCTTGTGTCCTCTTCACAGCATACTTTACTACCCAACATATTTGTTCACTCTAGCTAGCCCAGCTTTCATGTCCTCATAATTGCCCTTATGTGGGTTTGAAATACTAATCTTAGACCCATTCCTCCCTTTCAAATTGGATGTAAAAATCACTCATAATATGGTCACAGTACTTAGGACTGTCTTTACTCCGAGGAGTTTAGTTAATCATGCCATATTACACAGTACCACGTCTACTATAACCTATTGTCTGGTCAGTTCCTATGAACTCCTCATCCAGGTTATTACACCAATCTGATTTTTTTCAGATTGGCTATTTACACAAACCCTTACACTAAGCAGCATTTACCAGGCAATCAGTTTACCAGACCCATATGATGTTACTTTTGTTTGTCACTTTTTTTCCAAACCAAGTCATATTGGCTCCAAGCATCTTCAAATAGATTAAGAAAAGCAAAGCTATTCCTCCATGTCAACTGCACTGAACTCCCACATTAACCAAACTTCCAAGCTCTCTACTCTGTGTCATCTGCATTCAGTGAATGAAAGATGACCTCATTCAAATGTACAGAATTCTGGCAGGCAGATGGGATTAGAATGGCATCAGGGTCAGCATAGACATCATGGGGGTGAAGGAGCTGTTCCTGTGCTGTACTGTTCTATGTTTTTATAGGGATTGAAAGGGAATATGGGGGAATGATGCTTCCCTTTCCTGGCAAGTCTTGAACTAGGGGACACAGTCTTAGAATAAGAGACAAGCCATTTAGGACTGAGATTTTCACTCAGTCAAAATGCTCAGAGAGCCAGTACAGACACTATGAACAAATTCTGTGATTGTGTGAGGTGGAAAAAAATCTTCTCTGAGAAAGTTGTGAATTTTGTAATACTCTTCCCCAGAAGTCTGTAGAGGCTGTTATTGACTGTGTTTAAGATTGAGATTGATACATTTTCAAATGATGGCTGAGTGGTATTATTACTGGACTGTTAGTCCAGAGACTCAGATAATGGTCTGGGGACCTGAGTTCAAATCTCACCAGGGCAGATGGTGGAATTTGAATCTAATAAAAAATATCTGGAATTAAGAATCTAATAATGACCATGAATCCATTGTCGATTGTTAGAAAAACCCATCTGGTTCACTAATGTCCTTTAGGGAGGGAAACTACCATCCTTACCTGGTCTGGCCTACATGTGACTCCAGACCCACAGCAATGTGGTTGACTCTTAAGTGCCCTCTGGGCAATTAGGGATGGGCAATAAATGCCAGCCTAGCCAGAGATAACCTCATACCATTAATGAATGAATAAATAAAATTAAAAACATCAGAGGATTGTTGGGGCAAACACAGAAAAAGCTGGAGAAGTTCAGCAGGTCCGGCAGCATCTGTGGTGAGTTTCTGTCTCCACAGGCAATGCCAGACCTGATGAGTTTCTTCCGCATTTTCTGCATTTGTTTCAGATTTCCAGTACCCACAGATTTTTGTTTTTATTCCAGGTGTTGGTGGTAATTGCAGGGAAATGGTGATGAAGTAAAAGATAAGCCATGATCTTATTGAATTGTCAGATGGGTTCAGAGGACTGAATGGCCTACTACTGCTCCTATCTCTTAAGTTCTTGTATTCTTAGCCAATGATTTCTGACTAATTTTGAAAGTGGAACCTTAATAGAACAGCATGTTTTAAAACGTTATTCTCAAATTTTTTTTCTAAATTGAAATCATCTTCACAAGAGAAGCAGCACAAAGGCTTTAAGGGGTAAATTTTCCAAGGCAATAAATTGTCAGCAGGAACATACTAAATTTACCTTCGTGGTGTTTGGCCTTTTTAGTCAATTGAATTAATCTCTTTAAGGCATGTATGGAAGACTATCAGATTTGCATGTGGCAGTTTTTGCTGTTTCTTAAAAATTTATTTACACCTTCTTTGAATTAAATTGAGTTCATTCCATACTTCAATCATATGTAGAAGGGCAGAGATCAAAATATGACAGGATGCAAAGTGAAAAGAACGGATGAATACAAGAAAGGTGCATATCTGGTTTAACTATGTAATTGTGCTTCCTGTAAGTAAATGGAAGGTGCAAGTAAATAGTTGGCCCTTAGACTGTATTATATTTGAAAAGCACTATTCCAGGAATGAAGATGACTGTTCCTAGGTAAGTAATATTTCTGTTTACCCATAGTTAAACAGGCACCTGTCTAAATGAAAGACTTTTTCTTAAAACATAATTGCTACTTTCTGTCTTAATTAAATACAATTTCAACTGGATTAAACAGCTTCCTTTAAACACATATCATTGATCAGTACCTGTCTTAAGGAACCATTTTGATATGTCCGGAAAGATACCGCATAATGTAGTTTTCACTATAAGAAATATAGGTTACAACTGAATCTAATTTCGCTGTATGAACATTTCTATTAAAACAAGACACTGCATTCCTTTACTAGCTGTCCCTTCTCTGACACTCCCAGAGAGATGCGCATCAACTGGACAAGAAGTGAATTTGAAATGTTGTCAGCCATGACAGCTGTTGTATAGCATGCCATCCGCAATGGCTAAAATTGCCATATTCATTACACCACCCCTTGTCCACAGAGCCAGGCTTTAAATTGATGTTGAAAAGTGTGTTAGTCAGTGCTTCAACTGTGTATTACAAATCAGTTCACCAGAGAGTGATTTTTTTTCTACTTTAGTTCTATCGTGTTCTCTGTTAGTGTCGGTTCTTGATATCGGAATGTTTAGATGGGTAATTAAGTGTAATAGAAAATTTAGACTGAAGTGCCTCTATTTCAGAAAGGGTCTTCTGTTAATAAATGACTATGGAAATGTTGTTTGACTCCATTTGAACAGGACGCTTTTTTTTGTGAAAGCGGACTGTTTTCTTCTTCAATATGGATTTTAAAAGCAGCTCTGAATCCAACAAGTGAACTACTAGGCAGAGATGAAAAAATGCAGTCGGTGAAATAGGAATTAAACTTCTACTAATTATTAGAGTTTATGAAAGAATTTATATACCACACACAGCAACTTGGAAGTGAGAAGTATTCTGCAAATACGATAACAATATACTGTACTACTTTAATTCTGAATCCCAATATAAGTTAGCTATTAATCTGTTCTGTTTACTGATATAGATCATTAGCTTTACCATTCATGGAATTTAGATGTTTTTGATCTGGTCAGTAATTTAGTTATCTCAAGGTATAAAAAGTATGAAGTATTTTGAGTCAAAAAAATGTGATTCATTGTTGCAGGACTTGATTTCTAACACTAGATGTGACTAGTGAGTTGAATGTTAATGACATCTAGTGGCCAAAGTATAGTATAAAAAGATGTTAATTTGTTTGTGAGATATTTTTGCATATAAACAAATTTAATTGCTACTTTGCTTATTTTCAACACAATTATTTAAACATAAGTTTATGAATTGATTAGCAATCAGTGTATTACTTGCTGTTTATTATGGAAATTGTAGAGTAATCTTGATAACTAGTTCATAGCATCTTTATACAAAAATGTTACATCCATATAATGAAAACTTGCAATGGCAACAAATTAAATTGCAAATTCTATTTTGAAGGAAGATTAGCAATTAGACTTTCTGGTCTAATGTGCACTTCATATTTTGAGTAATTTTCTCAAATTGCTGTTTCGAGTTTTGTTGGTAAAAATTTTGAAAACTATTGTTGATTTAGAGCTAGTCAAGAAATCATCTGCAGATAAATAGCCCAAATTTTGATGTAAACTAGATTGAAAACAGCCTCCAAAGAAAGCAGTGGAATTAATATCATTTAAAGAAGGCTGGTAGAGCATAATTATTTTTCATTTGTCCATCAGAAATTCAGATTTATATAATTACTGCAGAGTTTATTTGCCAACAACAAAACTAGTTTCCAACATCTATACTAATGCAGTTTGAGTTCACCAAACCATGGCAGCAGCAAGTTTCTCAATAGGCAGTGGGTATACAGTTGCATATATCAGGGCTTTCTCCTGGCCAAGTAATTGAAAGCAAGCATACTGCAAGCTGCTGCAAAGAAGGAAACAACCAAGTTAACTGCTCTTGTTAGTATTTCTCCACTGCAACCTGGGATTTAAATTGGCCTTGTCAATTTTGCAGATTATATTTCAAGAAATTGGAAATGATACAATTTCATATTTTCACCACATAGATTTTTATGGAAATTGTATTAAAATATGTACTATTCAAAATCAGCTTCACTGTAAACATTGATACTTCAGGTTTGTATGTCATCCTTTCCTGAGAACAAAATAAAGGAAAAAAAGAATGCATGACCTCAGGATGTTCCAAAGTGCTTTACAATCAAGGAAGTACTTTAGAAGTGTAATCACTGTTTTAGTATAGGAAACAGGACAGCCATTTTTGTACCAAGTGAACTCCCACAAACAACAACGTTATAATGCCCAGATAATTTTTTTTTTACTGACCTTGATTAAGAGTTAACTATCAGCCGGGATGGTGGACATAACATCCCGTTCTATTGTTGTCCATCCCTGTTGAAATAGTGTCGTGAGATCCTTCGTGACACCTAAGAGAGCAGATGTGGCCTCAGTTTAACTTATCATCCAAAGGGTATTTTATAAGTCAATATGCCACCATATTTTCCCAAATATCTGAAATGAAATTATATGATTAAGAACAGAATATGCCCAGGGAACCAATGTGTGTACAAAGAGACTTGTGTGTGGAAGAGGAAGATCAATACCTTGATGTTTTCTAAGACTATATTGACTATTGGCCATTTGAAAGGGAATATTACCTTTTCTGTGTTGAAATGCAGATTTCCTGAGACATAAAATATTTAACAAATTGAACGATGAAAGAAATACAATGTAATCTGTGAGCAATTTTGGCACAATCATTTAGCTCATTTAGCCAAGATATATTGCTGCATATAAAGGGATTTATATGCACTGGCTTGTATGAGTTTCCGAAGAGATTTGTCCTGTTAAACTAGAAAATTTTTCAAAGAATTGATATCTTACGTTGATGTTTTTAAAAATGAACATCTTTAAAGTTGCATTCTTTAACTGACATAGAATTGTTGCACAGCAGCAAATTATAATTAATAATAATTATAATTAATATACAAAATAAATAGTAGTTCTCCTGCTGTTCTGCCTAAGAAATTATTTTGAGTATAGTTGGGCTAGCAAAACCATAAAACTAAATGCTCACTCCTAAGTTGAGCCTGATGTTGCCATAGGCTCAATAGGAATGCTGTTACTCCTCCTGGTAAGAATTAAAATGTACTGATTATCCTTCATTTATATAATGCTACAAAGAACAAACTGAAGATTCGTTCATACACATTAGAATTATCATAAATAGACTTTTAGAAAATGTAATAAATTTAGATACACTGGAGTTTTTCTCTTAATAAGATAGGTCAACTTAACAGTCATGAACAAAGCAGGTAAGGCATTATAGATTTATGTGGAAAAACTAAGCTGAATCTAAGTGAACATGTGGGGCAGAATGTTGTAAGCGTCTGAATGACATGGGCTATGGCAAAAAATCACATGTGACATTGGGCGAAGCCTTTTTTTGATATTGACAAGAATTCATTGCATTTTCGAACAGAATTCCAAGCGACGTGATCATATTCTCGCTAAGGAGTGACAAAATGTCTGTAAATGAGATTAATGCATGTTAACAGTGTCATTAATAACAATTCTCACCTCATTAATATGCAGCTTCTTATTCTACCACCTGCCACAAGGAAAATAGTCGTTGACAATTCCCAACATCCAAGTCCGAGCAGGTACCTAGCGACATTCGCTCCTCTGGGCACTCAGCAACAACTTCTCAAGGTACAATCTAGAGTACCAAATTGCACCACGTGCAAAGGACACTGACAATTGCCAGCCGCTCAGAACCCACATGGTACGTCTCTCAGATCTGCAAGCAGGGTGCTTCAGTACTTCAAATCTGCACTTCAGGGCACAATGGCAACTAGCATTAACGTGCTGCTACAAACACAGTTTTCATGTAGGGACAGGCTTGCTCTGTTAGCATTCGCTCACTTAGCACTGACTTGGATGTTCACAGCATCCATGCCATGAATTTTAGCACGGTCACAGAGCTAGGCAACATGTCTTTCTGGTAAGCAATCCTCAGTTGAGGGAATGGACATCGTGCTGTACAGCATATCACTATGTTATTCTGAAATCTACACCATGTACGAGTGACGTACAAATACTGCATGTGCTTCAAGCAAACAGCCATATCTCAAAATCTAAAGAGTGTAGTTTTCACCAAAGTCCATCTGTCAATCAGGAGGTCTGGTACAGTAAGTCAAGGGCAGCCTCTGAGATCAATTCAGATAGTCTTATCTGGGTGCTCTTGGACCAGGGGACCATACTTCTGAAGTTCATGGTCAGTCCTGTAGCTCCTAAACAGTCAGTTCAGGGTCAAGGCTGACACAGTCAGGATCTGTATAGCCATTATTTAGTGTATTGGCTCTTCTTATCCAGGTTTGTGCAGTTAGTTTGTTTAAGGATGTGGACTATGGTCATTCGGTTGTGTTCATGCAATAACAGCAAGGGGAAACAGTGTTGGGGAAAATGTGGGGGCCAATGTTGCAGGAAGGGGAGTTGGGAACTTATTCAAAGGGATAAAGAGCTGCAGAGTCAGAGGCAGGAGAGATGACAGTTGTGGGGGATTGTTGTAGGAAAGTCAATCTATAAAACAAGGATACAATAAAGCATGGTTAGGAACGGCGTCATGCAAGAGTTGGGAAATTTGCTATTGGAAAGAGTCATGCTGGCTTCCAGTAAGGTACGGTGAATCAACAAACCCAGCATGACTACCTTGCATGCTAGGGGCTGGTGGGGGTGAACAGTGACAAGATAGGTGGGTGCAGGCGCATGTAGGCAGATTTAATAGGGACCTGAGGAAGTTTATAGCCTATGGTGTTATTGGGGAGTTTTGTGGTGCTCAGTCATGGGCAGCTCTAACACGGCACGGTGGCTCAGTGGTTAGCACTGCTGCCTTACAGCACCAGGGACTTGGGTTTGATTCCACCCTTGGATGACTGCATGTGTGGAGTCTGCACATTATCCCCGTGGGTTTCTGTCGGGTGCTCCAGTTTCCTCCCACAGTCCAAAGATGTGCAAGTTAGGCAGATTGACCATGCTAAATTGCCCATAGTGTTCAAGGGTTAGATATGGGAAATGTAGGATTACAGGGATTGATGGGTCTGGGTAGGATGCTCTTTGGGGGGTTGGTGTAGACCCAATGGGCCAAATGGCCTGTTTCCACACTGTAGGGATTCTATAGAAACTATGGAAACACAACCATTCCCAGAAAGGGGATTTGGATTTTTGGGGCCTCACTTTCACAAAGGCACAGTCTGGAAATTGCTTTCCAAGGAGCATCACTGTCACTTTCCATCATCCTGGAAATTGTAACTGCTCAGTGGGTAAGAGAGTGGTTCTAACTGCACCTAGAGTAGAGCAAGGTAAGTGGCTTGACATGTGTTGGAGGATATTGTAAAACACAGCAATGTAAGGCCCTTCAATAGGTGACAAGACACAAGGACGCATTCATTGCTTAAAATCCAGACCTGCAGTCTCCTAAACCATGGGGGCTGTTATGCGTTGCCTCACTGTATGCTATACACCTCCTAGGCTGAAACATTGCTGCCCATATCACACAAGAGCAATAGTTTTATCCACTGAGGTCACTGTTACAATACCAACATATGGGTGTTTAGTTTCTGGAGACATTGATTGGAGAAGGAAAACTGATGCATGTTCTTACAGTGCAAGAGTTACAGCAGAGGCTAAACAAAGCCAAGAGCAAACAAATTTAGCAGCACTATGAAATGTTTTATCAAACGTTAGACTTTATTGAGAGTGAAATGTCACATTTGCCCCAGTGTGCTCTTAATATCTTTTATTTAATCTTTCTACCAAAGCAGTCCCAGTTTTCTCCTTGTGAGGGCAGGATTTTCTCCTTGTGGGGGCACCCTACCAACCATCTGGGCCCCTTTTACCCTATTGTGTGTTGTCTTCTGGAAAGAGTGAAAGGGAGGGATTGAACATGATGAAAATGACAACTGTTAGTGCAGGTAGAAGTTGGGGCAAGCTGGTGAGGTGTTCCAAGTGAATAAGTAGGCTGAAGAGAGGCCATTCAGGGTTAGTATTATGGGAGGATGGGAAGGAGAGTAAGACCAAATGAAAGAAGGTGTTGAATGCAGCAATGAAAGTGGTAGGGCTTTAATCTTGGTGGGAGGTGAAGGCAGAAGCTGGGACCGAGTATGTGTGAGGTAGCAGAGGGATGGCGGTAAGACTTACCCAGGTGGAGTGAAGGTCATTTACCTTCTTACAACACCTCAGGGCATTCTCTGAACAGTTGAGACTACACTGAACTTGGTGACCAGGCTGGCAAAGTCTGAAGATGTGGCATCCTCTGCCAGTCCTAAGCGAAGAGGATGTCCCTCCTCTCTAGCACTCTATTGACCAGGACATCCAGGTCCCTGTCCACAAAGCAGGGCACCAATTTTCCTTTGTCTTCCATGTCCAAAGATAATGTGAAGAATATTTCAGGATAGCTTCTGAATGTGAGTGCTAGTATGAAGAGGATTAGGAGGATAGGGCAGAGTGGCTGAGGAGCTGGGGCTGGGAGAAGGGATTCAGATTTTTGGATCATTGGGATCTTTTCAGTGGCAGAGGTGACATGTACAAGAGAGACAGGTTGCACCTGATCTGGAGGGGTCTGATATCCTAGCAGGGAGATTTGCTAGAGCTACTCGGGAGGGTTTAAACTAGTCTGGCAGATGAGCGGAACTCTAAACAGTAGTGAGACAAACGAGAAGGTTGAGGCTGGTATAAAAGTTAAAGAGAGCAAGTTAAATAGACAAGGCAGGCGAGAGCACAGCAGGGAACAAGGGAAGACTGATGAATTAAACTGCACATATTTCATTTCGAAAGGCCTGACAGGTAAGGTAGATAAAGCCAGGGCATGGATGGGTACCCATGGCAGGGATATCGTAATTATTACAGAAACATGGCTGAGGGAGAGATAGAACTGGCAGCTCAGTGATCTCGGGTACAGATGCTATAGGACGTCTAGAAGGGGAGGCAAGAGAGGAGAGGGAGTGATGTTTTGATCATGGCAGTACTTAGAAATAAGAATGGGATGATCAATTTGAAGGTATTGTACTATAAGCCCTCCAGTATAAAGTGGGAAACTGAGGAGCAAATATGCAGGGAGATTGCAGATAGCTGTAGGAATAATATGGTTGTAATAGTAGGGGATTTTAACTTTCCAAACATAGACTGGGATTGCTGTTATGGATGGAGAGGAATTTGTTAAATGTGTTCAGGAAAAATTTCTCAATCAATATGTAGATTGCCCTACTAGAGAAGGGGAAAACTCGACCGCTTGTTGAAAAATAAGGTAGGGCAATTGACTGAAGTGTTAGTAGGGGAGTGCTTTGGGACCAGTGACAATAATTCTATTAATTTTAAAATAGTTATGAAAAAGGATAGGTCTGGTCCACAAGTTAAATTCTAATTTGGGCCAATTCTGATGGTTTTAGACAGAAACGTTCAAAATTTTGATAGGGGGATGCTGATCGCAGGTAAAGGGACATCTGGCATGTGGGAGGTTTTCAGAAGGGAGATAAAGAGAGTTCAGGGCCAACATGTTCCCATTAGTCTGAAAGGCATGGCTGACAAGAGTAAGGAACACTGGATGACTAGAGATATTGAGGCTGTGGTCAATAAAAAGAAGGAGGCATATGTCAAGTACAGTCGAGTGAATCCCTTGAGGAGTAATGGGGTTGTAGGAGTACACCTAAGAGGGAAATCAGGAGGGCAAAAAGGAGACATGAGATAGCTTTGGCAGATAAGGTAAAGGAGAACCCAAAGAGATTCTACAAGTATATTAAGGACAAAAGAGTAGCTAGGGAGAGAATAGGGCCACTTAGAGATTAATGAAGCCACCTATGTATGGAGCCACAGGAGATGGATGAAATCCCAAACGAATATTCCTCTTCAGTATTTACCGTGGATAAAGACATGGATGCTAGGGAACTTGGGGAATTAAATAATGATGTCATGAAAAGAGTCCACATTACAGAAGAGGAGGTGCAGGAGGTCTTAAAACGCATGCAGGTAGATAGGTACCTGGGAAATGATCAAATGTATCCCAAGACACTGTTGGAAGCTAGGGAAGAAATTTCAAGGCAACTAGCGGAGATATTTATATCATTAACAGCCACAGGTGAGGTGCCAGAAGACTGGAGGGTGGCTAATGTTGCGAAAGACTACAAGTAAAAGCCAGAAAACTACAGACTAATCAGATAAGTAATGGGTGAGTTGTAGGAGGGGATTCTGAGAGACTGGATCCACATGCATTTAGAATGGCAATGACTGATTAGGGATAGTCAGCACAGCTTTGTGCATGGGAAATTATGCCACACAAATTTGATTGAGTTTTTTGAAGAGGTGACCAAGGAGTAGATGAGGGCAGTGCAGTGGACATTGCCTACATGGACTTTAGCAAGGCCATAGACAAGGTACCGCATGGTAGATTGGTTAGTAAAGTTGGATCTATGTGATCCAGAGTGAGCTAGCCAATTTGATACAAAATTGTCTTGATGGTTTGAGACAGAGTGTGGTGGTAGAGGGTTGTTTTTCAGGCTGAAGGTCTGTGACCAGTGGCGTGCTGCAAGGGTCGGTGCTGGGTCCACTGTTGTTTCTCATTTAAGTAAACAATTTGGAGGAGAATATAGGAGGTATGGTTAGTACGTTTGTGGATGTCACCAAAATTGGTAGTATGGTGGACAGTGAAGAAGATTATCTAAGAATACAATGGAATCTTGATCAAATGGGCCAGTGGGACGAGGAATGGCAGATAGACTTTAATTCAGATAAACGTGAGCTATTGCAGTTTGGTAAGACAAACTAGGGCAGGGCTTACACAATTAATGGTAGGGTCCTGGAGAATGTTGTCGAACAGAGAGTCTGAGGGGTACAGGTACATAGTTCCGTGAAAGTGGCATCACAGGTAGACAGGGTGGTGAAAAAAGCTTTTGGCACGCTTGCCTTCATTGGTACAGGAGTTGGGACATCATGGTGCAGATGTACAAGACATTGGTAAGGCTACATTTTGGAGTACTGTGCACGTTTCTGGGTCACCCTCCTATAAGAAGGATGTTATTAAGCTGGAAAGGGTGCAAAAAGATTTACAAGGATGTTACCGAGCTTGGAAGGTTTGAGTTATAAGGAGAGGCTGAATAGCCTGGCACTTTTTTCCCTGGAGCGCTTGATGCTGAGGGGAGACCTTATAGAGGTTTATAGAATCATGAGGGGCACAGATAAGGTGAACAGCCAAGGTCTTTTCTCAAGGCTAGGACAGGCCAAAACTTGAGCACATAGGTTTAACGTGAGGGGGAAAAAATTTAAAAGGGACAACATTTTCACACAGGGGTGGTGCGTATATGGAACATGCTGTCAGAGGAAGTGGTAGAGGTGTATACAATCAGAACATTTAAAAGACATTTGAACAGATACATGGATAGGAAAGGTTTAGAGGGACATGGATCAAACGTAGGCAAATGGATCTAGTTCAGTTTAGGAGATCTGGTCAATTTGATTTGATTTATTTATTGTCATGTATATTACAAATACAGTGAAAAGTGTTGTTTAGTGTCACTACTGTCCGGTGCCATCTTGAAACACAGAAAATAAAGCTTGACACAGAATATAACACCAAGCAAAAAAGCAAAAGTGTTCATCTTCACATTTCCTTCATGTTACAGCTCACGACAATCATTGCCTCCACCACTTCCGCTGGCAGTCTGTGGGCTCCTCCAACTTGCCACGGGCCTGGGACTAACCTCCACAACATTAGCCCAGTGACAGCCCTATCACCACTGTCACCGAGCCCTGCTGATGCCATCTTGGTTAGCATGAACGAGTTGAGCCAAAGAGCCTATTTCCAAGCTATATATCTCTATAATTCTATGAATGGCGACTTCATCCAAACAAGGCAAGATGGTAGACTCAGGCTAGCACAGAATGAGGGGGATACTGTCGGGTCTTGAAGGTAGTTAATGAGGTGAGTTTGGAATGATATGGTGAGAAATCTCATTAAGCTTAATGGAGAGAAACCCTCCATGAAACTTGATGAAATTGGCACTTTGCTAAAATTTCATAAGAAAATTCTGCCCGAAGCTAAAATAAGCTAATGCCACAAGCCACCCATCTATATAGCTACAAACGCTAAGAGGATTGCAGAGAGATGCCCAAACAGGTAAAAATGTTTGGAATACCAGGAGTTTGCAAACAGATAATGAAGGTATAAGAATTCTAGCTTTGGAGAGAAACAGGAGGAAGAATTTCAGAAGAACTCAGCAAAAAAGGGGTTTTGAGTACCACCTTGAGTTTTGAGAAGGGAGGACAAAGAGATAAAACTTTGCAGAAATCAAAACTATTTTGTTGAAGGAAAGTCTGGCAGAAAGTGCTGAAACCACAGAATGGGCAGTAATAAGGAACATTCTGCCCATCCCAAACTCTGCTGTTCTGAGCAGCCTGACTTTACAAGAAAAAGCCAACTATTCAACTGGAGAAACATATTTCAGCTATTGGATCTGACCTTTTGAACTTCAGCAAGAAGAAACTAAACCAACAGTAAATCACAGAGACCTAATGTGGCTTTGTTCTAAATATTATTTTGTCTTACATTTAATTGTTATAATTTTGGTACCTGACATTTTTTGTTAATAACTTTATCTCTTTATTATAAGGAATCTTGAGTAATAACTTCTAATAAACCAACTTTAAACCTGTTCAAAATGAAAATACAACTGCTGGATTTCTTTAACTTAAATCATGACAAATTTTAAAAGGGCTACAAGAGCTATGTTAATATAAAAGTCACCGACCATGAGGTGGGCAGTTGGTGGGTGTGACAATAGCAGAACTATGAAAATAGATTTCCATGACCAGAGAAATTGTTAAACAGTAGTTATTTCATATAGATCTTTGTAAATCCACTTGCACCCCATTAACATGGCATAATTTTCTTTCAGGTGTTTTCAACAATAACATCACAACTTATAAGGGGAAGTTCCCATCAGTTCATTGATTTCTACAAAATTGCTGTCTGTGGGGACTTCAACAGCATACTCTGTGAAGGAGCAGGGAATAACAGACAATTTTCAAATTTCCATATTTAACTACTGATGCTTGATCTTATTGTTAGTTTCACAGTATTAATGACTGAAACATTGCTAACTCCATCACTTCAACTGCAAAGACCAGGCCACTATAATTTAGTGTCAGACTTATGCCAATACCTCCCTGAAATTAAGTTATACGTCAGGGTAACTGCCCTTCCAATTTTCCATCTACCTCTGTTGGGAATTCTCTTGTGATGGTCTAGTAGATTTTTCCTGCAGTTATATAGCTGAAATACAAACTCAACATGTGAAAGGCTAGAGTCACAAGCCCGTGCTGAAACACTCTAGCACAAGATGGACATATTTCGACACACTTTCATTGCAACATCACCATTAATTTGTCATACATGAGATTTAAATTCCCTGAAATTAGTTTATTCTAACCTACAATTTTGGATTGTTTTAGCTTGAGACCTTACGAAAGTCTCTGCATGGTGCAAGGTCAGACAGTTCAAGATTACATCGAGAAAGTGAACTGGTTGTAGCGAATGTTAATCAGTGGGTAAAGGACCAAAAGTAAGTACTTTAATTTCTATTATTGTTTCATAAAGATCCACAAATTAAACATGTAACTAGTTAACATTCTGGTATATTTCAAATAAAAGTGTGGTTCAGCTATCAATTTAGGTGCCTTGACCAATAATGGAGTATGAAAATCTGAACCTCTGCCCAGACAATGAAGTATTACTTTAATACGAGAACTAGTTAACAGGACCAATGATTATTTCTATGATATTGCCAAAAAAAGACACATTTTGTTGAAACATTTGTCCTGCACTCATCTGAACATGGTTTGATGCAGGTCAGTTTCTTCAATGATCAAAATGCTTAATTTTATTCATACATTCACACTGTTGTCTTTTGCAAAAATGGTATAGAGTGGTGGATGGATTTTGCAAACTGATAAACAACCTATACTAAACCATGAAACAAATCCTGAAGGGGAACTTGAACCCACAACCTTCCAACTCAAGGACAAGCCTACCAAATGAAGTACTTGAATTCTCAAAATGTGAACCACAATTGCTGTCTTCTCCTACCAAGTCCCATGCCATTTGTAGGAAAATATTAAAGAAAAGCAGCTTTTTTAACTAAAGTACATTCCTCCATTAGTTTGTTTTATTTAAAATAAGGTAGAACATATAATTAATTTCATATAGAAACAAGCTTGTCATTTTGAGTAGAAAGTGACATGGGAACGTTTCATAGAATCCCTGTAGTAGGGAAACAGGCCATTTGGCCCAAGTCCACACCAACCCTCTGAAGAGCATCCCACCCAGACCCACTCCCCTACCCCTTTAACCCACCTAATCTACACATCCCTAAACACTATTGGCAGTTTAGCATGGCCAATTCACCTAACCTGCACATCTTTGGACTGTGAGAGGAAACCAGAACACCTGGAGGAAACCCACACAGACACAGGGAGAATGTGCAAACTCCACACAGACAGTCACCCAAGGTGAGAATCAAACCCGGATCCCTGGCACTGTGAGGTAGCAGTGCTAACCACTGAGCCACCGTGCCACTAAATGTTTGCAGTTAGTGGTGGTGAAGGGAACATGATAGCCACAATACAAGTTATGATCTAAGATGACTAACTTCATTCAAAAGGATTATTTTATATTTTTATATAGAATAAAATTGTCTGGAAATGCATCCTTGCTGATAACAAATGAATTTCACAAAACATCCGAGCTAAGTTGTCATCATTCATAGTAATCACTGCCTCTTGAGTGAATATCATCTTTATTGTTTATGTAGTAAATGTATTTATATTAAACCAGAACGGAATATTTAGCATTTATTTAAATGAATATCTTGGTTTTAAAGTAATTCCCAACTATCTATTTCCAAAAAAAAATCAAAATTGATGTCATTTGAGAACAGTGGAGTTCTGGTGCGCCTTGTGGTTGATTTGTGAAAACATTGTGATTGTTGCTAGGAAACCACCTGGATCAAAATTACTGAGTAATGTGACTGACATCATTTAATCATATCACAGAAATAAGCAACATCACAAATCTTACTTTATTGATGGTGCGATACTATTAGCTTTAGGTTAAATTAATTAATACAGAAGTAACCTAATAAAGGGATCATTGTGGTGTCGCACATACATCATGTGATGCATAGCAACAAAATTGCACCATTCTTGGTGGTTTTGATTTAAATCTGATTATTGTGCTATCACATCATTTCTGACCATGAGAAGGAGTGTGAATCATTGGACTGCTGGCACAATTAACTTGTACCCAGCACTGTGCTGAATGTAATTTATTTATACTACCCGGTATCTCCTTTAGCCCTTGTGCCTGAGCTCTCAAATAAACTTCATAAACCATTCAAACTATGTTCTCATCAAACAGAACATATCCGAACCCCTTGAGCACATTGTATCTTTATCCTGTACATATTAGATTAGAATTGAATGTTTAAAATTGAATAAAATGAAACTTCCCAGACCCAAGTAATTTTATAGGAATGAACGTTCATCAAGATGTAATGGCAGTAAGCAGTCACTGATGTAGTATTTTCGTTAAAATAAATCTGGCAATGCTAGTAAAAGCCTAGAATCAGATCGGTAAGTAATATTCATGAATATGCGTGGATATTTTTCAAACACACAAAACATAGTAAAAGCGACCAACCACATGATGGCAAGATGATATAATGCTGTTTTAAAAAGATGGACTGGTTAGTTCTTTTTTGTTCTAAATTTTTGCCCCTGGTGAATGCATTAGGAGATCCAGTAGTGCATATTACACATCACACAAATTTGTTCTTTTTTTTATTTTCTATTAATTATTCAACTGTAAACTTTTCTGCAGCAGTGTGATACGCATAAATAGAAACTGAATGTTCAAATTCTGATAAGATTCCTGAAAAGTTAGAAAAATATACAGTGTATAAAACATGAAAGCATTACTTTTATTTTCATGCAGCATGAGGCCAGGTGCTTCCATGGTCAAAATGCCATTCCATGTGGTTCTTTATTGTAGGTTTTGTTTGTGCCTTTCCTGCAGTAACTGCAAGCAATTAAAACATTGTGTGTGTTTTTTAAACAGACAAGCCAATGAAAAACTTGGAAATAAGATCAAAGAGCAAACAAAGCAAATCCTTCAACTAACAGCTGAAAAAGAGTAAGTACCAATACTGGGAACTAACTAGTGTAAATGTCAGACTTGCCTGTAGTAGTATTACTGTTATTAATATTGTAGTGCTTGATTACCTGAGAACACACCTTTGGATAGAAAGGAGAAACAGCACTCTTCCTTTCAAACACAGTTGTTCAATCAACTACAGCGACAGATTATGTACAAAGTTATTTTGAGAAGTAGATGAGTCCAATCAAAACCAAGCAGACCTATTAGTTCTTTGCTTATTAAGATGTAGGAGGTATAGATGAGCAAGTAAATGTTTCTTTTCAGAAAGCCCAGGTTTGATGATTGTTGTATAAGTGGAGTTCAGAGCTTCCGTTTTCCCTTATTCCTCACATCCTCCATGCCTCCCCAGACTAGTTATGTGCCTGACATGTCTTATGATTTATTTGACCTTTATACATTTTGATTTCTGTCTTCCCACTTGTACTCAGAGACATGAAAGCTTATTTCATTGCAACTTAAAAATAAAAAGCACCAGTAGGGGACGTTCAATATTTTGGTCATGGTTTCAGATTTGATTTGAATTTCTGTGTGTTCTGGGCACCACAATCATTCAACCTTTGGAAGCTACTGGTGCTAGAAAGTCTGCTTTGTAAATTCAGCACTCTCACAATATATTGTTGCCAATGGACTGAAGGAAAAAGATTAAAGTTATGAGTTGACCTCATGTTATAAAGTAAAGTGAGTCTATTAGTGGGCAAGCACACAGAGTGACTTCAGATCGACCATCTGTGCATTATATTAAATGAAATGATAAGAAATTATCATTGGTTGTTGTGGTTGCATCCACCAGTACCATCTGAGATATGTTGGATTCACTTCCACTAGTCCTTCTTATTTATATTCATCTACATCACTGATACCAGCTGGGAATGGACGCCCATAACAAAGTCTTCAGTCGTAGTGAGTGTCGGTCATGTTTGAAGAGAGTAGGTTATTGCATAGTACTTTATTCATATTCACATCACATCTGAGCTACAGAACCACTTCCATCCAGAAGACAAGGGCAGTGCATGGGAACACCACCACCTTGCAAGTTTCCATCCAAGCCACTCACCATTCTGACTTGGAAATATATTGTGTTTCTACACTGTAACTGGGTCAAAAACCCTGGAATTCCCTCCCTAAGGGACTTGTGGGTCTGTCTACAGCAAATGGACTGCAACGGTTCAAGAAGGCTGTTCACCACCACCTTCTCAAGGGCAGCTTAGAAAGGGGCAATAAATGATGGCCAGCTGGCGATGCCCACATCCCACAAGAAATATTAAAAAAGGGAGTTTTTTGTGAGACCTCAGGCTGACTTTGAAGTAAGTACACATTACTCTGTAGCTACATAGAACTTAGCATTTAGAAACTGATACACACACTGGTCAGCTCCTCCCAAGACTATCACATGATATCAGTTAACTCTTTCAGATGCCAACTGCATTATATAAAAGTCATAAAAGCCCTTCTGGTTCACTAAGGTACTTCACGGAAGGAAATGTGCCATCCTTTATCTGATTTGATTTGCATCCGTGACTTGGCCTGTGGCTATGTGGTCAACTCTTAACTGCTCTCTGAAAGGGCATCACAAACCACTAATTTATAAACAACCACTACAGAAAAGTTGAAGAAGAACTTTAATAAATGAACAGGCCACCCAGCAACAACCTAGGCTCCAAACATAACAAAGTGGTATGATCTCAACTGATGTTACTGCTGGACAATACAGAGCCTAGAATAAAATCTGACGTGGCAGATCCAATTATTTTCATTTTTTTATTCACTTGTGAAACTTAGTCATCATTCACCAGTACTTATTGCCCATACAGAGTTATTCTTGAGAAGATGGTGGTGACCCTTCTTAATGTGTTTAATGAGATAGTCTTTCCCTATCACATAAGCACAAAAATCTGCACATTTCATTTTAATAGAAGAAATAGGTTTATTACATAAAAGAAGTAACAAAAAACAAACCAAGCTATCTAAATACAATTGTGTTTGGAAGATTTTGAAACACATGGCAAAACAACTACTCCCCAATACCATCAATTTACAGTTAATCAAAATCTAGGGAAATTTCCTTTCCTGTCAAATCTTTACATTTGTCTTCATTGATTCTTCTCAGTTCCAGCCCTGTGAGCTATGAGGCATTTTCCATTTACCACTCACACAACTGAGATTTTAGATTTTCTCAGCTTTGAATACAAATACAGATTTCTAACCAGAATCTCTTGGTCTGGAAGTTTCATAAACTATACTCTTTCCCCAAGGTAACTTATTTCCTGAACTGCTGAGAAGAATTTCCATTTTCTAAGGAAAACTATATTCGTATATGACTTTAGTCAGGTTTCCTTCGAGGTGCCCAAAGTTTTTAAATTAAATTTAAAATTTAAAAATTTAAAATCCTCCTAGATTTTGCTAAATTAGAAAGGTTTTCCATACATCCAATAGACAATGTCCACACCACTGGGAAGGTTGTTCTTGACAAGATGAAGAATGGTTGCAATGAAGATAGAGAAAAGGGTGAGGGTGATGACACGTCCCTGCTTGACCTGTATCTTGATCTAAAAGGATTTTGTCATCTGTCTGTGAGGACTGTCACTGACATTTTGTTGTTGAGGAGATGGAGGATGTTGATGAATTTTGTTAAATAGCTAGTCTTTGACAGGATCTACTACAGCATTACCTGATTGACTGAGTTGAAAGTCATGATAAGATTGATGAAGGCCATGTAGAGTGATTGATGTTGTTTTTGGCATTTCTCTTGGAGCTGCGAACAATGAAAATCATATCTAGAGTTCCACAGGTCAATCAGAAGCCACACTGGCTTTCAGGAAGGATTACTTCTGAGACTGGGAAAAGGCACCTAGCAAGGATTTTCCTGGTGATGGAGAGCAAGAAGATTCTTCTGAAGTTTCCAAAGTCAACTTTGTCTCTTTTCTTGAAAACAATGGTATTGGCAGCATCTGTAGGTTCAGCAGGAATTTCTTCTTTGTCAGATTTTCAGGAGCAGTTGATGGAGATGACAGGTAAGCTCTGCTCCTCAAAGTCTGAAAATCTCCACAGGAATCTTATCTATTCCTGCAGATATTCCATTATGCATCTGTCTAATGGCAGCTTCAACTTCTGCCCCACTGGATGGGAGCACAAGATCATCTTTCATGGGGAGTTGGGGGATTTCCTCAAAGATGTTCTCATTGATGATTGTATCACAGTTTAGAGGTTCTTTGAAGTGTTCCCTCCAATAGAGGCTAATGTTTCCCCTGTGTCTCAAAAGGGTTCTTACTCTTACTCTTACTTTGCACTGGTTTGAGATCAGGGGTGTTGGTCCAGTAAATTGATCGAAGAAAGCCCTGATGTCCTGTTTGTCAGCAAGGAGTTGCAGCTCCATAACTTACTCCGTCCACCATTGATTTTTAATTTCTCTCATTCTTCTGTGTAGCCCAGCCTTTGCTGTTTGATGAGTTCTCCTCTCCACTTCTCTGGTAATGTTGCTTTGCCAGGCATGGAGAGCCTGTTCTTGTCGATGAGGTCTTTGATGGTGTGGTCATTCTCATTGAACCACTTTTGGTGTTTCCTGGTCTTGTAGCCGATGGACTCTTCACAGCTGAGATAATGGCTACATTCAGCTCTTCCCAGATTTCCTGCACTCCACTGAAATTAACTCTTTGGAGATTTTGGTAAAGATGTTGTCACTAGTCTGCTTATTTCTTGTAGTTGCTCAATGTTGACCTTTTTTCTGAACTGTTTCTTCATCTTCAGCTGCTTCAGTGGCACTTGACAGACATTTAGGAGCAAAAAGGATGCCCTCACCTGCACTTGGCACCACTTTGGTAATGAGGACATCCTTTTGGCCTTGGGATCAAACAATGACACAGTGGATAATGTGCCTGTACTTTGATCATGGTTGCCTCCAAGAAGTGTTGAACTTGTCTTTTTCATGAATCAGTGTGTTGGTGATGACCAGCTATGATCCGCAAATTTGGTGAGTAGGAGAATCCCATTGTTGTTGCACGTGTTGATTCCTTCCTTTCCAGAGTTGGGCAACCTTTTCAAACCCGGGATTGAAGTCCCCAAGGATGATAATTTTATCTTCCTTACATATATTGGTGAGTACGATGTCCAGGATGGAGTAGAAGCCTTCTTTGGACGACCATTTGTTTTTTATTCATTCACGGGAGGAGGGTGTCGCTGGCTGCGCAGCATTTATTGCCCATTCCTAATTGCCCAGCGGGCAGTTAAGAGTCAACCACGTTGCTGTGGGTCAGGAGTCACATGTAGGCCAGACTGGGTAAGGATGGCAGTTTCCTTCCCTAAAGAGCATTAGTGAACCAGATGGGTTTTTCCAACAATCGACAATGGATTCACGGTCATCATTAGATTGTTAATCCAGATATTTATTGAATTCAAATTCCACCATCTGCCGTGGCGGGATTCAAACCTAGGTCCCCAGAACATTATCTGGGTCTCTGAATTCACAGTCCAGCGATAATACCACTAGGCCATCATCTCCCCATTCAATGACCGTAACCTTCTGGCTCTTGGCAAGTCATAGACAGAGTTATGAAGTGATTGTTGATGCTAACAGGGAACTTGGAGAGTTGGTTGACGAGTCTATTTTTGATAGCTAATCCAGATCCATGTGTCCTGGGTTGTTCCTTACATTTTTCCTCTCCAGAATAAGATGTAACCATTACTTTCTTCCCTTAAGCATTCTTCACCTGCTCTTCTAACCTCCTGCAGGGCAACAATGTCAATGTTGTAGTGCCTGAGTTCACATGCAACATAGGAAGTTCTTCGTCCTGGATGACTGTTTTCATCATTATTCATGAGGGTTCCTACATTCCCTGTTCCAAAACTGAGTTTGACTTTGGTTTACGGACTGCAGGAACATGAGCTTCCTGGATGTGTTTTCCAGCCAAGTTGCTGAAGAACAGACTACAATTAGGGCACTTTTTCTACCTGTTTCCTGTGCAGGGCGAGCAGAAGCGTCCTGAAGACAGCTGCTCAGTCATGAAGAAAACTGAGTCAGATACCACCACCTCGGTGCCGGACTGAGGGCAGAGACTGCCAGATCTCACAACCCTGTCCCATTTCACATCTCACATCTCACCAATCGCCACAAAGCTTGTGTTGTGTGTATTGGGGAGTCATATTCCTCTAGGTCAGCACCTTTTGCAGGACATATTTTAATGCGGGAATGCAGATCAGCACACACACAGTCCTTGACAAAAGGTAGATTCAGTTCCAGTGGCAAGGAAACATCAATAGTTGGGGATGACCCAACTGCTGCAGCTTTCATACACCATCGCAGCCGAAGATATCATACAAATATTTTCTACCTCAATCGCCATGGAGAACTTGCTTTGGATTCCACTTTGTCTGGTTCCTCCCCGCCAACCTTGTCATCATGGGTGATCCTGCCAGATGTGGCTTTAGAGGTGAAGGATACCTGCAAAGACTATGTTCTGCACATGAGCTCAGACATTAAGCTTCTGTGTGGAGTCCAAATCCTGACTCCAAACTCTCCTGAACACATTACGCAGCACTGAGAATCAATTCCACTAAAGGCTGTGATGCACAAGCAGAGTAATGCAGCCTGGAAGGACTGACCCTAGCAGCTAGAAAGACAAACACTCACACAGCAGATGATGAACAGTGACCACATATTTACAAAAATGGGAGCGTATATCAGTAAAGTTTCACCCCTGCCTTCAGAAGATGATATTTATCCTTTCCCTCCCACTATGTCTCAGTGCAGGAACAAAAACAAAGTTGCTGGGAAAGCTCAGCAGGTCTGGCAGCATCTGTGGAAGAGTAAACAGAGTTAACGTTTCGGGTCCGGTGACCCTTCCTCAGAACTGAGGGTGGCTGGGAAAACGTCAGTTTATAAGCAGAAAATAGGGAGGTGGGTGGGGTAGCGAGTAAACAATAAGATAGAACCCAAAGAGAGAGAAAGACAGTTGGACAGACAAAGGAGTTGCTAACGATCAGGCTGGGAGGGTGAATAGTTGTTAATGGGGACTGTTAGTGACTAACAACAGGGGGTGTGTAGAGGCAGGCTATGTGGTAACAAGGCCTGGTGTGTGGGGTGGGGTCTGGGACATGGGAGAGTTTAGGCCCTAAAATTATTGAACTCAATATTGAGTCCGGAGGGCTGTAGGGTCCCCAAGCGGAAAATGAGGTGTTGTTCCTCCAGCTTGCGTTGGGCTTCACTGGAACACTGTAGCAAGCCGGAGACAGAGATGTTGGCCAGAGAGCAGGGTGGTGCATTGAAGTGGCAGGCAACAGGTAGTTCAGGGTCTTTTTTGCGAAGAGAACGTAGGTGTTCTGAAAGCGGTCGCCAAGTCTACGCTTCATTTCCCCAATGTAGAGGAGACCACATTGTGAGCAGCGAATGCAGTAGACTAGATTCTTGGAAGTGCAGGTGAAGTGTTGCTTCACCTGGAAGGTATGTTTGGGCCCTTGGATAGTGGGGAGGGAGGAGGTAAATGGGCAGGTGTTGCACCTTCGCCGGTTACAGGGGAAGGTGCCGTGGGGCTGTGGGGAGGCGTTGTAGGTGAAGGAAGTGTGGACCGGGTGTCCCGGAGGGAACGGTCCCTGCAGAAGGCGGACAAGGGAGGGGAGGGGAATATGTGTCTGGTGGTGGCATCTTGCCGGAGGTGGCAGAAATGGCGTCTGATGATCTTCTGGATGTGGATGCTGGTGGGATGGTAGGTGAAGATAAGGGGAACCCTATCGCTGTTGCGGGAGGGAACTTCTCTTTCAACTCCTCTCATTTTCTTCAGGTAGGAGGGGTTGCCATGGGTACCCGCATGGGCCCTAGTTATGCCTGTCTTTTCATGGGGTACGTGGAACATTCCTTGTTCCAGTCCTATTCCAGCCCCCACCCACAACTCTTTCTCCAATACATCAATGATATCATCGGTGCTGCTTCCCTCTCTCGTCTAGAATTGGAAAACTTCATCAATTTCGCCTCCAATTTCCACCCTGCCCTCACTTTCACCTGGTCTATCTCTGACTCCTCCCTTCCCTTCCTCAATATTTCTGTTTCCATTTCTGGGGATTGACTGGCCACTAATATCCATTACAAACCCACCGACTCCCACAGCTACCTGGACTATACATCCTCACACCCCACTTCCTGTAAAGACTCCATCCCATTTTCTCAGTTCCTCCATCTCCGTCGCATATGTTCAGGCGAGGCCAACTTCGACAAGGGAGCCTCCGAAATTTCCACATTCTTCCTCAACCAAGGATTCCCCAGCTCCGTTGTCAACAGGGCCCTCAATCAGGTCCGATCCATCTCCCACACTTCTGCCCTCACCCCTTCTCTTCCCTCCCACAACAGCGATAGGGTTCCCCTTATCCTCACCTATTATCCCACCAGCATCCACATCCAGAAGATCATCAGACGCCATTTCCGCCACCTCCAGCAAGATGCCACCATCAGACACATATTCCCCTCCCCACCCTTGTCCGCCTTCCGCAGGGACCATTCCCTCTGGGACACCCTGGTCCGCACTTCCTTCACTCCCAACACCTCCCCACAGCCCTATGGCACCTGCCCCTGCAACCGGCAAAGGTGCAACACCTGCCCATTTACCTCCTCCCTCCCCACCATCCAAGGGCCCAAACATACCTTCCAGGTGAAGCAACACTTCACCTGCACTTCCAAGAATCTAGTCTACTGCATTCGCTGCTCACAACGTGGTCCCCTCTACATTGGGGAAACGAAGCGTAGACTTGGCGACCGCTTCACAGAACACCTACATTCTCTTCGCAAAAAAGACCCTGAACTACCTGTTGCCTGCCACTTCAATGCACCACCCTGCTCTCTGGCCAACATCTCTGTCTCCGGCTTGCTACAGTGTTCCAGTGAAGCCCAACACAAGCTGGAGGAACAACACCTCATTTTCTGCTTGGGGACCCTACAGCCCTCTGGACTCAATATTGAGTTCAATAATTTTAGGGCCTAAACTCTCCCGTGTCCCAGCCCTCCACCCCACGCACCGGGCCTTGTTACCACATAGCCTGCCTCTACACACCCCCTGTTGTTAGTCACTAACAGTCCCCATTAACAACTACTCACCCTCCCAGCCTGATCGTTAGCAACTCCTTTGTCTGTCCAACTGTCTTTCTCTCTCTTTGGGTTCTATCTTATCGTTTACTCGCTACCCCACCCACCTCCCTATTTTCTGCTTATAAACTGATGTTTTCCCAGCCACCATCAGTTCTGAGGAAGGGTCACTGGACCCGAAACATTAACTCTGTTTTCTCCTCCACAGATGCTGCCAGACCTGCTGAGCTTTTCCAGCAACTTTGTTTTTGTTCCTGATTTACAGCATCCGCAGTTCTTTTGGTTTTTATGTCTCAGTGCAGTCCTGAGCTCCACTGCTGAGATGAAGAATGTCTGCCTTACAGTGGAGTCTGTTGGCCATGAAGTTTTGGTTGGATGACGATAGGGGTATTTGTGGCCAGAGGGCTCAATAGTCATGAAGGGGGCAGGCAGGTTGGAGGTGGAAGGCCCAGCCACCTCCCCAGGCTGTACTGTGGCGAAACTTCTGGAGCAGCCTATCTGTGATTCCTCCTCCAGCCGGGTGCATACAGGGCACTGCCATTTCTACTGAGCACCAATGGCTGGAGTGATGGAGTGCTGGCCTATGCGTATATTCAGCAGACACAGTGGAAGCTGGACCTGGCTGTCAATGGAGGCAGCCAGAGCTCATGTGATGGAGGCAGCATGATGCAAACAGTGTTGGTGGAGTCTTCCAACCTTTGAGTCAGTTTGCCCAATGCCTCTTACAAACTTGCCAACTGCGCTGCTGTATCAGTTTGTGTATTTGTATGAACTTAATCATTGGCACCACGAGAACCTCTCCTGCCTTGGTCTCTGGCAGTCCTCCAAGTGCCAGCAATTTTGGAGCATTTCTTCCTCAACCAACTGCGGAAGTGTAGCAGTGATGTGCTGACCAGCATGTGCTTCTGACTCTATCCTAGCTAAAGTAATCACTGAGCTTTCAATAGCTGAGCTGGTGGAGTGTGCAGGAGGCAGCCTTCCCTGTACACCCTATAAGGAATCTGTGGCTTCTTCCTCAGAGGTGGAAGAGGAGATATCTTGCTGGGATATCCTCCTCCTGCCAAGACCTTGCAGATGCAATTGCTACTTGCAGGAGACAAAAGAGGTAATGTATATCAAATAAGGGATAGAATTTTGGGGATATTAAGAATAATGTCAGTATGGTGGTATGGGAGAGCAGCACAGCAATGGGCTATGACTCAGTGTCATCCTGAGGCCAGTCTGACAGGATATGCACAGTGCATAGATAACAAAGCAAGTATGAGAATTCTTGCTAGGCCTCATGGAAAGAAACACTCCACAAAACTTGCCAGAATTGACACTTAGCCAATTTGAGTCTAAACTCAGCTCACAATAGTTATGCTAGGATAAGATGAACACTACCTTCATGGCAAATTCATCACAGAGCTTCTTTAATCTATGCTTGTGGATAGGATTAAGGTTTTTCTCATACAAAATCAATATATTACAAAAATATTGTGACATAAAACCTGAGGGTTTACAGAGGTGTTGTGGCACATTTTCTTACAGCATCAAATTAATGACTACCAGATGGCTTTTTGGTTGAAATATTTTTCATTGTTAGTTATTGCATTTACATTCTATTATTCCTTTATCTTTGCTGCAGTAATGACCCTTTCTGCTATTGCTATTGTAATCTTTGTCACAACACAGCCATCTACAGGAAATGAATGAACGACTACAGCATGAGAATAAGAAATTAAAAGTTGAAGTGGATGAGAAGAGAATAGCAAACGAGAGGCTAAAGGTAAGTTGTCTAATTCCTCAAAGGCACTACAAATGGAAAAGTTGTAAAGTTTAAATGTTGACTTGGTGTAGGCAAATCTGGTCCTGAAAGATATCATTAGAATGAATGTGTGATGTGGTATGTGTTATCAGTATATTTTTGAAAGTTTTCTTTATCTTCTGTTGAAAATATTTTCTGCTTACCAAAGTTCTTTTATTAATAGGGAATCAGGAAAGCTTTGAACGTAGATTTCCTTGTGGACACTCTGAGTGCAACACCTGAAAATACCATTTGTCCAATTATTGAACCATATTAATTTGTGTCTCTTTTCAGGCTTTGCACAGTCATCCAGGTGAGCATCCTAATGTCATGCGTCAAATCCGGAGCCCATTTCAAGATGAAGAGTAAGTATTTATCCCTGAATATTACCATTTTTCATTTCATTAAAGCTCAGCTATACGTTGGGATCCAGCATGATTCACATGACCATTGACATTAAACTGCAAATGGGAACCTGTTCTATTTAACAGTGATGCAGTTTAAAGTAATTTCTGAATCATAAACAATTTACTAATGGCTGAGTGAGTTTGCACAATAAATAACAGACATAAAGACCAGGTCAGCAATCTGTGCTGACTTAACACAAGTACAATTGGCCTTAGCAGCTCTAGGTTAGACAAGAGACTTTTTTTCTAATCACTATTAATTGATCCTTCCGAGAAGTGTGTCTTTGTGTATGTGTGAACATTAGGTGAGGGCAGAGTTGAGCTTGGCTGAGATCATTAAATAGCTTGCTAACACTTTATCAAGCATCATGCTTGAGTAATGGGCACTTGGGCAAATGTACTAGAGAGCATTCATTACCTATAGAATGGCCATGTTGCAAAAAGTAAAGATATTCAGTGATAAGAACTGGAGAAAAAAGGAAGACAATTGACTGGTGAGTGTGGCATTACTTATTCCAGCATTTTTATGTCCTTCCCAGGTAATTGCCGTACCAGATATTAGATGGATGTCACCTGGACAATTCAGATTTGATTTGCTAGAATCAAATTCTAAATTTTGAAAATCTGGAAAATCTGGAAAACAGTGTCATGATGTAGCATATTCTACTCACCTTGTAGAGTATAAGGAAATGTTTGTATGGATTCTGATTGCTCCATTGATTAAATACAGACCACAAAACATTACCTTTAAAAACATCACTGAACCATGATATAAATATGCATTTGATACAAAGTTATTAATCATTTGCCAATGAATAAGCCACAACCACCACTAAAATAAGTTGCTCGAAAATACATTTCAAATTTCTTTGACCATCCATGCTGTTTCCACACCCTAGCCCACATAAAAACTAAACAATTATGAAAATAATTGTCAATAAACACAATAAACACCTTATTCTACTTCTTCAGCTCTATGCCTGAAGGCAGATCCAACCAACAATGCCACAATCTCCACGGAAGTAGGCACGTCCTGGCAAGTTTTCATCCTTGCCAGAACTGGGGTCAAACTCCATGCTGTTGGCACCAATTTGACTTACACCATGCAGACAAGCTGTTGTAGCAATAGAGATAACAAGGTATAGAGCTGGATGAACACAGCAGGCCAAGCAGCATCAGAGGAGCAGGAAGTCTAACATTTCGGGCCTAGACCCTTCTTCAGAAAAATTTTCTGCTGCTTGGCCTGCTGTGTTCATCCAGCTCTGCACCTTGTTATCTCAGATTCTCCAGCATCTGCAGTTCCTGCTATCTGCTGTAGCAATATGTGCTTTTGCACGCATGTGATAGTCCGGAGCTAATTAGACAATGGCTGTAGGTTTCCCCTGCATCTTATGGCTTACCAGGAATCTCTTCCACACTCACCACCTGGTATTGGTGTTGGTTGGAATGGTTTACAGATTGATGATCGACTTATGTGGCTGCTATATGAATGCATCTTCCTTTGCTGTCAAGTCCTGGAGTGAGACATGAAAAAGATTCTGGCTCAGGGAAGGGATATTACCAAATTCATCAGCCACTTCACAAGTTGTACCTAACTGAAGCTGTAAAACTCCAGAACCACATCTACAACAATAGACCATTGTCTGACATTAAAAACAGTATTCATTCTGTGATTGCATTAATGAAGTGGAATAGATTGGCTGGAATATTTAGTGGCAAATTATTGAAGTTTTATTGAGTTGAAGGGCCCACAAGCTGCAGATTTCAAGGCATCCAATGACCTGGACCTTCACTTGGAATATCCAATTGCTAAACTTCCAGACCATCACCATAATAAATATATGTTGCTACAAAATGTGATGCATATTATTCTTCTCAGAGCAATGTAAACCCAGGCAGATGAGATATTAATCTTCTCCCCAGTATCGTGCTGCTATTTTATAATCTTTACCACGATGAGTGATGGATCCAAATAGCTTCATTAATTATTCTCAGATCCCATTTTTAATATGTCAAAAGATCTATTTTTCTACATTTGCATCTGCATTCTCTACACTACAACAGCAACCACACATCAGAAGTGCTTCATTTTCTGCAAGGCACTTTCAGGCATCTTGTGGTTGTGACAACTACCATAAAAATGGAAGTCTGTTTATTCTTTCTTTTCTTTCAAATCATTCTGACCCCCAAGTTTTCTCTATCTATTTTGGGCAAACTGGTATCTGAACTAGTAAATTGTGAGAACTGATTTTTTTTTTCATTTTTAAAGAATAGTCTGTTTAAGCAAAGCTAATCAAGTTCTATCCCTGCTGTTTCTATTTTATTGCATATTCTGTTGGGGTGTTATATTGGTCAGTTACTTAGATTATTACAAATGTAATTACAGTGGACTTCCTATCTTTGAAAGTCAAAGCAGGTAGTGGCATGAAGTAGGCCTTTGTGTTATTGCATGAGTGTTGAAACTGACAAAGTCTTGGGATGATGTTACTAAAGTTCATCAAGTGTTGAAGAGAAAGAATGGATTCTAAAAGTCATTGAAGGTGACTGTATATGGATGCAAGAAGATAAACCATTTTTGAAGATTCTCTGGCTAAGATTGGATAGTTAATAATAGACTCTGGTAAGATATGGTTAGAATACACTAACAAAGCATTGAAAATGACAACAGTGTTGTCAAGTTGAAGGCTGCAGAGAAGTCAAAGAAGAAGATTAATGTACCACAGTCAGAATTTACGTAATTTGTGACTTTGAATAGAGAATTTCATTCCTTTAGCAGGTTGGAGAGCTGATTTCAGAGATTCAAGGAGCCATTTTTGAAACAGATGGGCATCAATTTTGGATATGATAACCATTCTATGACTTAAAAAGGCAAGTAGGAGATGGTGTGGCAGTTTTGACAGACAGAGTGATTGAGATCGGGGTTTTGAGGAGAAAAATGGGAACAGCAGTTTTGAAAGAAATGGAAGTGATACCCAAGTCAAGGGAACCATTTAGAAATCAGCCAACATTAAGGCCAGGAGGTGAAGTTAGGTGATCAGGTGTTGGACCAGTATTAAGAGTGTGATGAGGCAAACACTTTCCTTCAACCTCCCTTCCAATTTTGTTTGTTCTTCTTTGTCATTCTAAGCCTTGCAACGTACCTTGACCATCAATCTATCCCTGGCAACAAACTCTGATCACCCACCTGAAAATGCATGAAAGTGATTTTAAAAAAAGCTTGCAGTGTCTGTGCAGAGAAACAGAGTTAAGATTTTCAAATCCTGAAACCTTAACTGTTTCTCTACACAAATACTGCCAGAGTTGATGTGTGTTTATCAGTTTTTTTGTAGTAATTTCAGATATCCAGCATCTGCAGTATTTTTCTTTTATTAAGTCATCAGTTAAGGCTGATGATTTTTTTTCTTTTTCCCTTCCACTATTGATGCCTTCTTGTTTATCACTTGGTGGGGACTGGGAAATCCCAGCATTGGTTACATTTATTCAGTTCTGTATATGGCATTCTGGTACTCCATCTTGATTACCCACCAAACCAATTTTTCAATACTGCACAACCTACATGAGCTTCTCCCTAATATTTAAAGTTTTATAAATGAAAATGGAGGCCTATGGTCAGCAGTGTGCCACAAGGATCGGTGCTGGGTCCACTGCTTTTCGTCATTTGTATAAATGATTTGGATATGAACATAGGAGGTATGTGTCGTAAGTTTGCAGGTGACACAAAGATTGGAAGTGTAGTGGACAGTGAAGAAGATTACCTCAGTGTACAACAGGATCTTCATCAGATGGGCCAATGGGTTGAGGAGTGGCAGATGGAGTTTAATTTAGATAAATGTGAGGTGCTGCATTTTGGAAAGTCAAATCAGGGCACTTAATGGTAAGGCGCTGGGGATTGTTGCAGGACAAAGAGACTTTGGAGTGCAAATTCATAGTTCCTTGAAAGTGGAGTTGCAGGTAGATAGATAGTGAAGAAGGCATTTGGCATGCTTGCCTTTATTGGTCAGTGCACAGAGTATAGGAGTTGGGAGGTCATGTTGCAGCTGTACAGGACATTGGTTAGGCCACTATCGGAATACTGCGTGCAATTCTGGTCTCCTTGCTATAGGAAGGATGTTGTAAAACATGAAAGGGTTCAGAAAAGATTTACAAGGATGTTGCCAGGGTTGAACGGTTTGAGCTGTAGGGAGAGGCTGAGTAGACTGGGGCTATTTTCCCTGGAGCATTGGAGGCTGAGGGGTGACCTGACAGAGGTTTATAAAATCATGAAGGGCATGGATAGAGTAAATAGGCAAGGTCTTTTCCCTGGGGTGGGGGAGTTCAAAACTAGAGGGCATAGGTTTAAGGTGAGGGGGGAAAGATTTAAGTGGGACCTAAGGGGCAACTTTTTCACACCTCAGTGATGCAAGTATGGAATGAACTGCCAGAACAAGTGGTGGAGACTGGTACAATTACAACATTTAAAAGGCATCTGGATGGGTATATGAATAGGAAGGGTTTAGAAGGAGATGGGCCAAATGCTGGCAAACAGGACTAGATTTATTTAGGATCTCTGGGTCAGCATGGACGAGTTGGACTGAAGGATATGTGTCTATGCTGTATATCTCTGACTGTATGACTTTAAATAAGCTTATGGCAAATAATTGTAGATGCTTATTTCTAACATTTAAAAGTTAGAACGGTGTATTTTTGACCTGTAACTATTTATGATCACATGTTCAAGTTATGAAATTAAGCTCTGTAATTCATTTTTTTCTGCAAGTTGAGAAGGATAAGTCAGGAGTTCTGCTGCTTCATTCAACAGTGAGACATTGTTTGGCTGTCTTTTTACTGTCTTGAATCCTGATAGTTAAAAGTATTTGTGAAAGCATTTACCTGAAACCTAATGTAGCTGTTTAATAAAGTGACAGGATTTGTCATTGATTGGTAATTACACCACAGAAAATCAATTCAGCTGCTTCTTACTTA